AGCCCTCGTGTAGCTTTGCGCGAAATTCAAAACACACACACACACACATACACTGTATGTGGATGTGGGCTTCCAAGACCATGTTTAAGCAGGCTAAAGACACATTGGTACTACATCGGATACTTGACGGGTATATGGTTCAATAAAGATACTGTAATTTAAGCTTCCTCGGACCAGTTTTCCCTCGATGAAAGCCGTTGAAGTCGAGGCGTGGCGGGAAGCTTGTGAATTTCTGGTTTGTAAGTTTTGTATACCTCAAATCCTTGCTTATTTTCTTGATATATAAGTTTATAACAGGCTTCATCATAATAGCATCTTTAGGTCGGAGGTTGAATTGGCTGGGGTTTTGGTTTGAAACCCTTAACTGTCTTAAATGCACTACTGTGTGACTTTTTCCGCTTCTTAAAAGTGCATTGAAGACTCCCTTTTTCCAGATGCCCTGTCGTTTAGCTCTGAATCGTTCTACAATATCGCTGTAAAAATATTTATCTTCACAAAGTTTTTTATATGTCTCCAACCACAGATTTTTCAGTGGCAGCATTTTACGTCGAATGCGACGTGAACCCAGCGTATAAGTGTTAAACACGTTGCTGTAGTGAAACGCCACTGTGTTAGCATGTGTTAACAATTCTTATACAGTACCATTAACTCCCTGTAAGAACGCGAGGATTTCAAGTTTTAATAAACCTGGGATTGAAATTTTCAATCTAACAATATTATTTTAGCTTGCGAATGCGATTTTCTGTACATGTTGTTTTGTATTATGGCTGACAACACGGTATAAACTATTTTGCAGTTTTAGCTTATAGAGAGAGTTTAAAACGTTCTAGTAAACATAATTTGGCCTATGTTTAGTGTTCTTCTTTTAAAAACTACGATGAAAATAAATCGAAAACAATCAATCAGGACATGCATGATGAATCGCATACATTACCAAGGAACTTACATAAACAAACCACTTGCTAGGTGGTCTCTCGCTAAAATCCGGGGTACGAGAGTTTGACGAAGTACAAGATCTAATGATTCAGGGACTTTCTGTCAATTTTTTGACTGTTGAATGTTCACCAATAGTATTGTATTGTTTTCGTTTTCGGCCTCTTTAATTCACCATAACAGTCGTTGTATCTGAAAACTGATGATATGTATGTATATATAAAATGCCCAGACCACTACTATGTTTGTCGTAAGCCAGCCGGCCTGATGAGCTGTAGTATTGGGGAAAGCCCTCATTGGTATTGGATATGGTAGATATAGTATAGTTGACATATAATAACATATTCTGCTTTGCTTTCAATAATGTGTTCATAAAATCACTAATACAGTTTTCTCCCGTTGACGCTGTGGTTGCTTGATCCGCTCCAGGATCAGGAAGAGTACATTACTAGTTCGCCAGTTTTTTTAATGACAGTAATATAATAATAATAAACATAACATAAATAAAAATATCGCTGGTGTTAAAACAAATAGGAAATAATAACGTGTTTTTTAATTATTACCCTACAAATCTGACATGTAAATAAGTTAAATAAAATTGATAATTACAATTCACTTAAGTAATTGGTTCACACTATAACAGTCTTTGTTAATGAAAACTGATTATATATCGTTTAGACCACTAGTATGTCTGTTGAATCCCAGCCCGCCTGATGAGTCATAGTATTAGGCAATAGGCCTAATTTGCATTGAAAATTGCAGATTTAGTGTGATTGACACATTATAACGTATTCTGATCTTCTTTAATTTATGGGTTTTTAGGATTACTGTGTTAGTTTAATCAAGATTTTTATTTAGATGGCAGTTGATTGTCATTTTGTGTTATTTGTGACACAAAAGCGACTCTACATTTTACAGTAGGTATCGCCCGCTATAAAATAAATTCAAATAAACTCAAATGATCTAACCTAGATCAAGAGTCAATCTGGTTTTTGGTTATGGAAAGAAGATCCTTACATCATAAGTGAATAAAACCTATAACTATTCATGTTGTTTTTAACTGACCTTACACGTTTTATTTTCTGGTCTTCATGCACACCATTTATACTCTCAGTACAAATGTTCCTGGTTTTTAAAGTCTTTAGGTTATGTAGCAATATAAAATATACATGCAATAGGTTATAGTCTCAGATCATAATGACTTTAAAACAAGTTTGAAGTTAAAGATTTGTCGTGTGCATATTGTTATGGATCTTAATGATTTTTAAACCATTACAAATATCGGGTCATCCAATTAATATAGTTTTTGGTCCTAAATAAAAAAACAACAAAAAACTGACCCTACTGAACGCTGAAAATATGACAAGCTTATCTTCGGTATAAGTAAAACATCACGTAGAGATTCATATTAAACAGTTTACATGGACTATGAATAATTAATGTTGAATCATATACATATAAATTTTATGGCAAGATTTTGAGCTTAATTTGTTTGCTTTTTTTACTTGTTGTTCAACACAGCTTCACAATAGAACACCGGAGGACTAATTTATTTTCACTTAATTACTAACAAGAAAGACAAAAAAGAAAATTAAGAAACATGTTAAAATACATGTTATAAATTATTTACTGCTTTTGGCTCTAGAAATGCTTTGCAATATTCACTTAGTTCATAGATTTATTAATATTTTATTTATACTATGTTTCACTTTATATTTAACTTAAATATACATATACTTAAATGATTTGAAATTATATTTACAGCCTCCTAGTGGTGAGTTTGAGGATTTATAATTCGATCCCCACGGTGGGTACATCACAGATTGCCTATTGTGCAGATTTAAAAATAACAATAAACAAATAAATTATATTTATAAGACTTGTAAGATCTTTTTAGGAGAAACAGTATATACACACTCTGTACTCCGAGTATACATTTTATCGAGTTTCCTACGTAACATAATGCTTATGGTTAGAATCTCCTAAGCTCTGAATAGATTAATGTTATACATTTATTCTGGTCAGCATTCTACATTTAAAACTTGTCTGCTGCACAGTTAAACATGTCCCTTCTTTACAGTCCCGATTCTTCTATTTTATTGATGTGTTATGTATATGAACATATGTGATTAATAGAAATGAAGACTTTAATTTGAATTTACAAAACACCCAGTCTCCAGATGGAATTTACCTGCCTTATCATTACTGAAGATGTGTTATGTACGACATATCAATTAAAACAGTTTGATTTCTGGACTTTTTCTAATAGTTATTATAAAATATCACTTGATTTTGGGGGAATAATGGTATTTATGAAAAGTTTGTGAAGAATTTCTGAACTTTTTGTTTTCAATTCACAATACACACACACTCATAAAGGCAGATATGCAAATGAACATATCGCCTTGTGTTTGAATAACAAACTGCACTAGCACGCTTACTTTTATGGATAGATCGTTGTAACTTCAAACTCATGTTCTGCATATTTTTCCTCCATCTCGGGTTGAGATTTGCACATAATAGAAGTTTATGGAACAAAGCTTCCTCTTCCTTCCTACACTTTCTATATAGCAATGTATGGCAAGGTCATATGATCACAAAGATTCCTCTTCCTCCCTACACTTTCTATATAGCAATGTATGGCAAGGTCATATGATCGCAAAGCTTCCTCTTCCTTCCTACACTTTCTATATAGCAATGTATGGCAA